TCAGCCCTCTGTCTTATAGCAGAGGCAGCCCAGCGCAATCGCGCGGCCTCTTTCCACCAGCCGACAACAAACGGGCGCGCAAGGCCAAGGCTGCCCACGTCCTCGCGCATCAATGTCCGCACGTCTTTTGATGAAATTTGGGCAGCCTTTTGATGGCACGCCTTTTGACAAAATTAGCACACCTTTTTTGAGGGTGAACTTTTTCACGGTCAGCTTCTACAACCCGGTTGCTTCTCTCTACACGGTCCCGACATGACCCCATAAACGTCCCGACATTTGATTCGGTTAGCATCTCCAACGGTCCGACAATGACCCTATAAACTGTCCCGACATTTGATTCCGGTTAGCTTTTTCAACGGTCCCGACATGACCCTGTTAACCTGTCCCGACATTTGATTCCCGGTTAGCATCACCCAACGGTGCGACATGACCCTATCAACTGTCCCGTGACTTTTGATTCCGGTTAAGCCTACAGTGTCCCCTCTACAAACGTTATGAACACACCCCTACAGTGTCCCTCTACACCGTTATGACACCACGCCTACGGTGGTCCTGCTACTCCCCGTTATGAAACAGCCACCAATCCAGTTGTCGCTCTACACCGGTTATGGCACACCCATCCAGTGTCGCTCTACCAGCCGTTATGGCCACACCCTTTTCAAGAGTCTTCACCAAACCGTCTGACACGACCATGAGCAGTGTCTCCCTTATCTTTTTTATCTTTTTTTTATTTTTAATGTATTTTCCTTGTTTTGCTCCTCTCTCCGAACTCAAGTTGGTTACAGTTTCTATCCTCCTTGAGTTGCGGGGGGGCTGTTAAAATATATATCACACCTAGCACCACCTCCACTCAACATCACTACCACAACACCTCACCTACTCCAAAACTTCTCCCTAATATAATACAATCCTTGTTAAATATACAAAACTGGTACAAACAATCTTGTATCAAAGAAATCAATCAATAATACATGATTTTTAACAGGGTGCCATAACGTGGTAGAGGACGCACTGGATGGGTGGTTGTCATAACGTTGTAGAGGACAACTGTATGGTGGTGTCATAACGTGGTGAGGACACTGTATTGGTGGGTGTCATACGTGGTAGAGGACACTGTAGGCTAACCGGAATCAAATGTCGGGAACAGTTTATGGGGTCATTCGGACGCGTTGGAGAGGCTAACGCGGAATCAAATGTCGGGACAGTTAACTGGGGTTCAATGTCGAAGCCTCTGTTATCGGCGACGATTACTAATATGGTGCAGATTTCAGGTGATTGTTATCATGTTTCTTTTTTCTTTTTCTTGTGTAAAATCGTTGTATAATAAATGAGTGTCATTAACTCTCCGAGCTCCGTTTGGGCGATATGGAATTATCCCATGAAATTTTTGTGTTAAAATTGTTGATAATGAGTGTTGACTTCATCTCCAATCTTGCGAGCTTTGTTTGGTGATGATTATTGAATGAATTTTTTGTGGTACAATTGTTGATAATGAGTGTTGATTCATCCCCAATCTCTCGAGCTCTGTTTTGCTGATGATTATTATAATGATTTTTTTTTTTTTTTTTTGTGTAAAATCGTTGATGAATTTGAGTATAGATTAAAATTGGTGATGATTATTATTTGTGGTGAAATTGTTGATGATGAGTATTGAAATCAATGATGTATTGATCTGTGATTTTAGGAACCTGGAGAGGTGGAGGAGAAATTTGCTAGCTGTGATACTGGAATATAATAAGTGCATTTCTTTGCATCACGGGATCCTCGTCCCCTGTTTTTGCCTAAAAGGTTGGATTTCAAAGGCTCATTTTTCAGCTCCGATTGCATTGCCCTCAAATGGTTGACTGAAGGAAGACACAATTACTATGCTGGAAAAATTTAACACAGACAGGCTTCACCGAGGACTCCAACTACTATCGAGCTCTAGATCTGTAACGTAAGCCTACTTTTTTTAAATATTTTGTTTGCAAGTTTATTTTGAATGTGTGGATTTTTTTTTGTGTTTTAAGTTTATATATACCTAATCTTTTTTTTTTTTGTTCATTTTAATTTTTCATTGCATTACTCACAAATCTTAATCTTTTCACTTCTTTTTTTTTTTTGGTCAAAAAATAAATACATTCCTACCATATTCTTCACTTGTGTTTGAAAGCCCTGAATTTAAGAAGAAATTTCTCAAAAAATCATGATCTGAATATATCTAAATATTGT